TTGAAAATCATTCAGTGGTTAATGCACAAGATTGAAAGACCGCATGGGACCCTAGGAATAATGAGTTTCAAATACAAAAAAAATAGTGTCTGTATTAACGGATTATACATAGAAATCTACAATTAATATAGGGCACTTTCCAAACCTTATAATTAGTAGTGAACTCTTTGGAAGCCCTATAATTAATAGTGAACTCTTTGGAAGCCCTATAATTAATAGTGAACTCTTTGGAAGCCCTATAATTAATAGTGAACACTTTGTAAGCTCTATAATTAATGCTGGATATTTTAGTAACCTTATAATTAATGCTGGATCTTTTATTTTAATTTCTATAAGTAAAACCAAATTTTATGGCAGCCATTAATGAGTTAATATCCCTTTTTATCTCCTGTAATATTAATATAATGGATTTTTCAATTTCCTAATCTTGTCAACGAGGTTAAAGTTTATTATTAAGCTTGGCATAGTCAGGCACAAGACTGCAGAAGTGGTTTAGTTTGTGATGATCACTGTATGTGAACAAATTCAATTGCATTGTGAGACAAGTTTGTTTACCATTGTGCTATAGTAAATTCCAATAAGAAATTGATAGAGTAACTGAAAAAATCATTTAAGTTTTCTTTGTTTAAAATTTTAATATTTTCTTTCTCCCACATTGATCTTAAAATTACTACCAACATTTTACAAGTATAACCTGTTTCAAATTTCTAGCATATGCTGCTGTACCTTTTTATATACAATATCTGTTTTTTTTTTTAGTTTTTTTTTTAGTTTTTTTTTTTAATGTAAATACAATTTGCGTTGATACAGATGTTTATGAAGGACTTCTGTTGTGGCATGCTTTCTGAGTAGTGTTTGTTAATTATACAAATCTGAAAGTGATTTAATAAATTAATCACTTTAGAATTTTATGAGAGATTTTTTTAAAGTCTTTTGTAGCTATAAAAGATTCCTTAATTGGTAAAGCTATCAGAAGCTTGTCTCATTAATTTTTGAACCACCTACGTGATTTATTTTTCTAATTAATCAGTCAGTCGCTAAACATTGTAGAAAAAGATATAATTTATAAAGAAATTTAGTTTTCCTTTTTTGTTTGTTTTTGTTTTGTTTGTTTTTTTGTTTTTTTTTAGTTTAATTAAAAATTTTCTGGTATTTAGAAATATATTTCAATCAAAAATATATCTGAATACATTAAAGTTTTATTTTCATCTTGGAAATATATGGTAATTAAAAAAAAAAAAAAAAAAGATAAATTCCACACAGCTGTCATATACACAGAAATGATTTTTAATGTCTTGTAAATTAAATCTGCAAATTCTAAAGAGATCAGTCTAAAAAATCTAGTTAATTTTCACACCATGCATAATTTCAGTGTGCAGCCAAAGAAAATAAAATATTATTCGACAGACATATGTTGTTCAGTATAATTATACATGTGTGTCATTTCAGTCTCCAGAATTTTTATAAAAAATAATGGGTTTATACCAGTATGTCAACTATAATATGTTTCATTTCTATACTGCATTCCTTCAGGACACAGACAAACATGGTTTGCTGGAACTTCCTCTCCTTTGAGCTCTAAGCAATATTTGTCGCCTTACTACACATCCCAATCTCTGCTGTCATACATTTAATTTACACAAGCTCATTTGGTTGATGTTTTCCTTCATTACTCTTAATGTTTTCCTCCATTCCATAGAACATGTCTTGTGAGTGTCAAATTCTCCAAGCCCTCTTACCTCATTATGTGACCCCGAAATTTCAACTGCCTCTTAGTACAAGTGTCCATTTTGTTCCATTTTCTTTAAAACTAAATAAGAATGGAATCTATTTGTTCTGTAAATGTTTATTGTCTACTGACAATGAACAAGACCTGAAAGAGGTAGAAACACAATAGTAAGAATTACATCAAACATAGTAATCCTCTGGTAAGAGAGAGAATAATAGTAAGAATTACATCAAACATAGTAATCCTCTGGTAAGAGAGAGAATAATAGTAAGAATTACATGAAACCTGGTAATCCTATAAGAACTTCCTCGATTCTCAAACGTTCTGTCCATGATATTCTCAGCACACTTCTATATAACCACTTTTTTGTTGCATCAAGCATTCTCTTCACCTGTTAGGAAATTGTTCAGCATTTACTGCCATATAGGCTGATTGATATTGCATAGCAGTTCAGTACTCTGTTTCTACTTGTTTCTTAATAGTTTTAACATTTAAAATGCATCTTTTTGCTAATCTAATGCACTTCCAAATCTGTGTGTCACATTAGTAGGTGAAAGAATTTTAATGAGTTCGTAATCAGTTAACTAGAGGTGATGTCTCAATAAAATCACTGTAGAGAAAGCACCAAGAAACTACTCCTTTATTATTCCCAAGGCAAATCATGGGTATTGTTACTGCTGAGGTGATATGAAATGAAGATTAGGAGCATAAATAAAGATTAACTCTTGACTTGAGATTGTCTTATTCAGAGAAGCATCCACACAGGAGTCCGTTTCACAATGTAGTAATTCTTGGGGAGAAAAGCTGAGTGGAACTTTCTTCTTACTCTTGTAATATGGAGGAAATGAGGGTGATTAGACTAGGTGGAGGTAGCATGGTATACAAGTCTGTGGGCTTATGATGATAAAAGCATTTATTGTACACAGCAAAGATTTATTTTATACTCATCTTAGTGGCTATACAGGAACCTGTAGAAGGCCGGAGATTATAACAGCCGAGCATAATGACCAACATGAGCACATTGGTTCAGATAATGAAGCTTATTTACAATTTCACATCTAAAACTATGATTCTTAACATGAACTTTTAGGCCCAAAAGTCAACCTGAGAAATATTTTAATTGGGCCTGGAGACACCGAGAGCAGTGTTATCATTAGTCAGGATTGATATTTTCTATTACATTTTGCTTTTGTAAATAAGATCTATTTCTTGTTACATGGAATTTCTATTTGTGCTTATGTGGGCCTGACATTTGTTGACAACCCAAAATGAGCCACAAAGGAGAAAAGGTTGAGAAACACCAGTCTAAAAGATTCCATCGTATAATATTTACTTTACAATATAATCTCTTTCCTTGTTAACGCACTCGATCCAGCGATGAATATCAGTATCATCGATTGACTATTTATACAGTGAAAATTTCAGATCAAATTTCAGTCAATAACTACATGTTGGGTGATAGACATTTTCCCCTCCCCTCATATAGACTGAAAATAACACTAGAGAAGATACTTGTAGATAAGTAAAGTTAATTAGGAGAAAAGAATAATAGGCAATTTAATCAATATCCCAAAGTTTTTATGTTACCATCAGAACATTGTAAACGTAGTGACTTTCTGCCAAAAACTCTGAAATTGAATAAACAGTCCTGGTACAAAGGCGCCTTATCTCATTGCTAGTGTCTTTGATGATTGTCACTAAATGTCGAAATATGAACAACTTTCTCCTATCATTCTTGACTTATCAAATGTTGATTCCCTACAAGCAAATTGCTCAGAGATATCTTCATGTATAATCTTTGTTTTCTTGATCTAAAAGAGGAGTCAATTAATTTCAAACAATGATAATTAACTGATTATTCCTTTAATTTAAAAAAAAGAAAGACTATAAAAAGTGGCTTTTCATAATACAAGCAATTGTCCTCATTTGATCCAAGGTGTTAATAAAAACAAAGTATCAATTTGTGGCATGAATACAAGTCTTTTGAAATGTTAACTCTTGTCTTTCATGAGACAATTTAAATTGTACTATCAGATTTACATAGTTAAAAACTCATTTCTTGAAATCAAGTTGTATATTCAGGCACAGTGCCAACCAATAAAAGGTTTGGTGGGTGTTAAGTCAGATGTTAAATTTTCAAAATTCATTTGTATATATAATTTCAGATAGAGTATATCTGTAAAAAGAAAAAAGGAAAACTTATCTTAATGGACATGTTTCATCCTATAAGGGGCTTTATCAAGGTAAATGCAAGGATTTTATTTTGTAACAAGTACTTATATATAGGGCTTTATCAAGGCAAATTCAAGGATTTTACTTCATAACAAGTATTTATATACATAAGCAAAAATGTTAACATTTTTGCTCTTGTATATAAATACTTGTTACAAAATAAAATCCTTGAATTTGCCTTGATAAATTTCTTGAATTTGCCTTGATAAAGCCCTATATATAAATACTTGCTACAAAATAAAATCCTTGCATTTCCTTTGATAAAGGTACCACAGGACGCAATGTGTCAACTAAGATAAGTTATCCTTTTGTTATTATTATTATATATATATATATATATATATATATATATATATATATTATTAAAATTCTAGCTTTTTTTTTATAATGGACACCCCATAGATGCCCTATTTTTCATTTATTAAACAGTTTTTGTCTATCAGTTTGGGCATTCAAGAAATAGTAAAGAAAATGTGTTCCCCTGCAGGGATTGAACCTGCGTCTCCCTTTGTAGGAGAAAATGCTGTTTTATCTGGTATTCTTTATTAAGTGTTCGCTATAATAACTAATGAAATAATATAAATGTCGGATTAAACATAGGGAATGAGATTTTATCTTATGCTCTTCATAAAATTAATATTTTTAGATTATCCCACTGTAAACGTTTTTGCTTTGATTTTCCACATTACTGTTGTTGTTGTTGTTTATTTTATTTTCGCTTGTCTTCTACTTCTGGTAGGAATTATTTCTATAGACATTTTTTCCACATATTTGTATAAGTTTTAAAGAACAAAAAAAAATATATTTAACAGAACGCCCACCCGTTTCAAGTGACTCACAAGACCTTTTTAATATTGGTGTTCCACACGTACATCCAAAAATATTCTAGAGTTTAAGTTAATATTTCTAATGACTACATACTCTTTTTCTTTTTTCCTTTTTTAAATTAATGGCAGCAATATTTTTTTTAAGCAAATGATACAGCATTTTGATAAATTGAAGCCTAAAGGACAAATTTAGCCTTCTGTTTAATTTTCAGTTCCAGTAAAAAAAGGAGAGGAGACGAAACCCCAAATACACATTACTCAGTAGCTATTATTTACATTATTTACATTGTTCGGACTGCTATCATTATCTTTATTGCCATATTCACGACGTTTCTGCCGTTGTACACACCGGCCTTCTTTAGGTGATTGGAAATTCGAACTGAACCATTTATTTCGTCCATCAAGGTAGATTGTTCTAGTTCTATGTGCAATGCTTCTTCCGGATTTCTCGGTTATCTCCCTTTAACTCAACTCTCCAAGTTTTTGTTAACTCACAACCCTTAGCAGAAATGTCGTGAATATTGCAATAAAGATGAAGGCAACAGCCCGAACAATGTAAATAATTACAGTACCCCATCTCAGAAATATCGACAGACACTCAATAGCGTACAGAAGCCGTCGCTGAAGGTGCGACGGCCCCGGGCATCCATATCGGGAGGCATCCAATCAACGAGTGAAATAAAAATTTACTTTATATTTAATTTGAATAAAGTGTTTACTTTGTGTTTCATCTGATTTTACATGTTTTTCTTTCTCACATTTCTCGGTACTACGCCCAATAGCTCTCCCCAAACCCACATGAGTCTTAGGGACATGCAATCACCAAATATCACCGTGTCAATTCTCGCACTGTTGGTTATATGAGTGAATCTCAATACTATGGTCAAATATCAAAGGTTAAAAAAATCGTATATCAAAGTTAAAAAGGTATACTTGTATCTTTGTAAACACATTTATTCAGCAACAAATATTAATTTTTATTTGATAAAGATTCAGTTAGTTATGTGCCATGCTTAGGCGATCATGTATCTTTCGATACATGACTGACGAGGCAGATTTTTTTTATCGTAGAAGGTTGCCATTTCTTTCTGCGGTAGACCAGTTGCCATCCAAGGCTAGAAAACTCGGCCTGTCCCGATATTTATTGAGGGAAAAAGAGGATTCATACCTTTCCCACGTTAGTGAATGTAATGGATTCGACTGGAATCCCTTGCTTCACTGTGCTTCTTGTCTCCGAAGTAAATAAAAATTCAATTTAAGGCTAAATTTGGATTTCATTTTATGATAACTCAGATTCGGTCAAATTTCGACGCGCATTCTATGAATTCGGTTTTTTACATTTAATAATAAAGCAAAAGTCAACAAAAAAGATGATTAAAACATTTTTAGCGAGTTAAAACCTTTAATTTTCTGTGTTGATGCTTATATACCAGAAAGCATTTGAAGTAATAAACGGATTCCATTTTTTTTTTTTTTTTTTTTTTACTATTTAGCACGGATATTATTGGTCTTTCTTTCGTGCGATTAATATTGTCTGGCACTAAATGTTTTATTTTTTTATTTTGTTTTTCTGGACTCAAAAAGATCTACAAGTTCTGCTACTGTTCAGAGAACTTTTCCATGAGCCTGCCTGAAGGAATATTCGCAATCATGAAAATTTTCAATACAAAAAAAAAACAAAAAAACATTTGTCCTCTCATCTCCACCTTCGCCGTCTTTCTATTCTAGTTTCAACGCCACAAATTGCATCACTTGTTTGTATATTCTCCTGTAAAATTGAATTTTTATGCTCGTTACGATGAAAGGAAACGAAAGCGAGACCTGACGATTTTGAGTTCATTTACGATTACACTAAATGCACTGTACAAGTTTTTGTTTGAAGGGAGGTTGGGGGGGGGCACAAAATCTTTTCTCTTTATTCCTAAATTGATCCTAGTCAGTTTCAACCTGATCATTTTAATTGCTATCTTGTTAAACCACTCGTTAGGACAGACATTTTTTATTCAAATTTAGATATTAATCTATCGATATGGGCAAATCTATGAGATGCTTAGTCGAAGATATGAGCAAACGACAACACTCATTTAAATAGATAAATCGCTAAGTTTACACCCAGTAATTTATTTAAAGTAGTGCTGGTCGCAGAACTGTTACGTGACATCAGTCCTTCTTTACGGTAGCGAATGTTGGACGATTTCCTCAAAGATGAAGAAGAGACTCGATGTGACAGATGTGGTTCTACAGAAAGATGCTAAGGATATCATGGACCGAACATGTGAGCAACGATAAGGTCTTAGAGAGGTTGCAATCAAGGAGGAGACATATACTTAATATCAGGAAGAGGCAGCTGAAGTTTCTGGGACACATAATGAGGAAGGAGGGCCAGGAGAATCTGTTACTCACGGGTCGAATAGAGGGAAAGAGAGACAATGGAAAACAACGCATGACATAACTGGCGGACTTTAAGCAAATGGATGAGAAGAACGTGGTCTGGGCGAGGAAGCAGAGGGAAGGAACTTGTAGAGAGCTGCAAGGGATAGAGGGAGGTGGAGAGCCATGATCGCCTACGTCCTGAAAGGACATTGCACATAAAAAGAAAGAATGTAGCCACGGGTAACTAGGACTCTGGACAGGGCAGAACAATTTTGTTGATTGGTGCTGCTGACTTGCGAGCAGTTTTTCGAAATAACATTTTTTTCTTTACCAAAAACATTGCAAATATGAACTGCTTTTAAAACGATTTTCTTAGAAAGATGCGTTAAAAGGTCAGCTCTTGATTTATTTACATAATTAATATTTCTGAAATTCTTGGCTATTCTGATCGCATTTCACTCGCTAACCGGTCTCTGAGTGCATCTTTTAAAAATACGGTGAGTGTAAAATTAAGATGTATGAAGAGGATAAAAATAATTCGCAAATTTTATTTTCGCTTTAATCAGCTCATTTTTCAGGGACGGGTGAAAAGAAATGCTCTACATATAATGTCCATTTCATGATGTGAGAGCGACCATGGCTCTCCACAACCTCTCGTCTTTCGTTGCTCTAAGTCAGTGTTTCTTTTTAAACAACAGGGAGCAAATGAAAATATCACTGCGGACTTAGCAAAATTTTTGAAGGGTATTTTAAATGTTATGAAAAACCGTATATTTAAAACAAAATACTGTAATTTCTCGAAAATAATACACATCCCAACAAATGACCCCAAAATTAAGAAATATATCTATTCCTATGTATAATACGCATCTATAAATAAATTAACTTGATATCCTCTTTTCTTCGAAATTGGCCTTTTTATATTTTTTTTTTTTTTTTTTTTTTTTTTTCGCCACAGGTTACTGACAAACATAAATTTATTGACAAAAATTGTTACAATTATTATTGTTGGATTTAAAATGAAAATTGGGATAATACCTTTCTTATTTTAGAACAAAGTACGTATTTATTATTATTATTATCAGTTATCTCCTGTTAATCCCCCTCTGCAAGTTCTCCACTGCGTTAACCGGGTATTGAACTCACATGGCACAGTGGATAAAGGCGTTGGTTAGATCCAGTGACAGGACCCAAAGAGTTGTGAGTTCAATACCCAGTTAAGTCAGTGGAGAACTTGGAGAGGGAATTAACGGGCGATAACTGATAACTGACATTCATTAGACATGGCACATGGAACTAGAACAGTCTACCCCAGTAAGCGAAATAAAGGGTTCAGTTCGACATTCCAACCACCTGAAGAAGGCCGGAGCGTACAACGGCCGAAACGTTGTAATAAATATGGCAACAAAGTTGAGGACAATAGTCCGAATAATGTAAATAGTGTACATAATACCTCATCTCAGAAATATAGACAGATACTTAAGAGGATCGTGTGGGACATTAGAATCACTGCTCAAAACTGTTATTGCTTCTTTCAGACTCTCCTTTGTCTTTGTGGTACTTTTCCTGCCATTTATTTATTTAAGTAGTTTATTCGTTGTCTTTTTCCAATACTTTTTTCTTCATTAGGTCTTCCCAAAATTACAGCTGTCACTTTATCAGCAGTCTCTTTGTAGTTCCTCATTTAAATATAAATAACCAAAATAAAAACCTCATTCACATATAAAAAAAAAGTTAAATTTATTCACGTATTATGTATGGATAGACTTTTTCATTATTAAGAATATTATTGTTGCTATTCGCATTGACAAAATCACACTGTCAGTTTTATGATGACGGTAAATGAATGATGAATTAATTTATACTTTTTAAAGTTTTTGCTATTAAGAAAATATTTAAAGCTATTTATTAGGTAACCCCGCGAAATCGCTAAAAAAAAAAAAAAATAGCATAGCATTATGAAAAAGATGAAAAAATTCTAAAAATAATTTAAAAAAAAAACTTTGGTTTTTTTCTCTTAATAATAACATGAACATTTAAACGATAAAATTTTGTTTTCGTCAAGTTTGGCGTCTTTTTCATCATGCTATGCTCTTTTTTAGCGCTCACATGGAGGTACCTAATTTAATCAATGCTTAGGAATGTGTGGTCAGATTGTTTTAACATAACGATTTAATTTCCTAGACTTATTCTACTGCATCTAAGTTTGAATTGTCCTTTTTAGAAGATAACCCGCTTTTCGTTATTGACAGAACACTTTTGCATAAATCTGCACTTGTGACATTTGAATTAGCTCTGCATTGCTATATTCTAAAAATTCGTATTCGACCAAATCTATCACTGACTATATTCCTTAACGTCTTTATAGGAGAAACTTTGGTTTATATTTTAATATCGATCTTTAGTCCGTAATCCCAGATTCTTTCAACAAGGAATAAAATAGGAAATGGAAGAGAATAAGAATTTAGAATGAACCGAAAACTCAATTTTAAACAGGAAACAAGGGATAAACCTATACTCCAGTTCAAAAGACGAGGATGTTGTCTGTACCGGGCGATAGACGAACCCGAGAGTTTTTGACATTGCTGATAATGTTAACGACATTTTTAAGAGTTGATTATGTTTATTCCACCTTTTTTTAAAATGCAAAATTTATTTCTGAATAAACTCTAATAATTTTGCTTATGTCTTAGCTTTCTTCATCTAGCGAAAAAAATTCAGGAATGCATTTTGCGTATTCATATCACGTCGGTAAATCACCATTTGCGGAGTTATGCGCCTCTACAGATTTGTATCGGAACGAAGTTGAGAACTTTCGAAGAGATTGAATTCAACATTTTCAGAAGAA